CCTGATGTCAATAGAAGGGAGCCAACCCACGCATTTGTATTCGGCTCGGTAAAATGGCCGCTGGTTGGCTTCTTCTTCATACAAAGGCGTTGCAAGTCCAGGTTTTTTTTTATATACGTCCGTGGCTTCAAGCCACAACTGCTAGCCCTCAGGCATAGTAAATTCAGGCAATTACAACCTAAGCGCGCATGGCTCGGTTACCATGCATATCGCGCTCAGGATAGCCATCTTCATCCCACTGCCGTGTTTTGACGTAATGAGCATTCCATAAAAAGTATGGTGTCTGTCTATACGTTGCGCAAACCAGCTGAAATTAGGGCCTGGGTGATTGACTTGTGACGTTGCACGGGGGACAAATCAAGGGGACAACTTTACCGTTGGACATGAAGGGGGGACAAAAATTATCTGGAAGACACTTTTACCGGGGTGCTATCCAGTAAAAGTGTCCGGGGGGACACATTTATCGGGGAGGGGCAGTTTTATCGTTAACACCGCCACTTATTATCTGGTGGCCGGCAGATAATTAAGTGGCGGCTGCCAAATAATTAGTGGCGGCCGCCAGATGATGGTGTCAAAAAATATATTTACACACGCGCGGTTAAAAAAAGTGCGCATGCTATCCCTTGGCACTATCTGACTTCCGTAGTTATCTGACGGCGAAAACACGTACGTTTTGTCTAAAATGAATTTTCCATAAATGTGAAGGTGCATGGAATCACGGTGAAATCAAATGTAAAGCGGCCGTCATAAGTGGTACTTTACAAACTGCAGGCTTTCATGCAAACTTGAATCCCAAGCTTGCCAACGCGCAAGTTATGTGGAAGCACACGGGACGCATGCACAGTAAACTGATTCCTAGCAAGAACGACATGGAATGGGCGATAGCCTGTGACCCTCTCGACAACATGATATATACATTCCGAACTTCAAAGATCCGAAACATGAAACAATACAAAAAATCAACAGTATCTTCGCAAGTAAGTTTACAAAATTATATTGCTCCTCATGCACAGGTATTTTTCAATTTCATATAAAATATGTACCGTATGTGGGGGTCTCAGTGCACATACTTTAAGCGGTTCATTGTAGCCCGATTTTCTGTTTGACCGTTGCTAGGCTCTTGCACGGAGCGATGGCCTGTCCATAAAGGCAACACATGTCAGATGATGCGGGTCTCTCACTCAATATTTTGATATTTCTAACTGGGACGTGATAGTTGGACTTGAAAGTGCTGTAAACGAGAACATTACGACCAAAATGTTTACAGTATATGGGAGAACAGCCTCGGATGCGAAAAAACTTTTTTTATCGAGAAGAAAATTAACTTGGGGAGCGTCGTAGCAGGAATTTGTACGTGTGGTCGCAGCGCGGCAATTCAATGACCATACATGCTGTACAACACTAAATGAACAAAATCATTTTTCAAATCAAAAATTGGGTGGGGTAAGTCAAATTAATTTCAACGAAAAAACAAAATTGCAAATCAGCACAAATTTTTAATTGCCCCTTAATTGGAGTTGTTGAATCACATTTTGCTTAAAAACTTAAAAGCGTCAGTCTCTGTCCTGTGTGTGAAATTTGATAAGCTGCAAAGAGCAAAAATGTTCTAAAAATGACCTAAATCATGACTCAAGAATTTAAATTAGTAATTTACAATTACACGTGTACATTTCATAGTGCGCTCCACCTGACAAATAGACACGTCCATATAATTTAGGTTGGTCGTCCCTTTGCAGTTTCTTGGAGATTCCTGGTTCGAGCCTCGATTAATAGGCATTCCTTGTGCAAATGAGAAGTCTTGCCCCAAATTGCCCACGCTAATTCCGTTCACTTTGAGGTAAGAGAGAACCTGAACTTTGAACTTAAGTTAGCGCCACCTTTTATATGCTCAATAATTATTTTTTTCTCAGTAACCTTTGCGCAGCAACCTGGTGGCATCTACCCCCTTGCATTTTTGTGCCAGATCACCTTGTCTAACCTCGATGAGTTGATGTGGTGTGTAGTTTTGGTTTTTAGACCATGGCAAATTTTCGTCAAATGTGGCAAAATCTTTGCAGATGATGTGTAACACATGGATGAAGTGAAGAAACTGATAAAAATGGCGAAATGGAATGCTTTATAATTCTTTTGGGGTTCAACCTGACATTGTGGCATTGATTTAAAGAAGTGATTTAAGGTCTTTTTAGTTAGGCCATCCTCAAGTGCAAGAGTGAGGCGATTGAAATCTCCCCCATGTGCATGCACTATATAGGCTACGCGCCAGATGGATGAATGAATGTAGGAATGCGCTTTTTTGCCGGAGAAGCTACCGGAGAAAATATGTCATGGGTTTGGGTTCATAAAGTGATTCATTTTGGTCGGCGTAACTGCTCATTGCAACCGTACGACCATGGGGAAAGAAAAAACGAGTGGTGTACCTTTAGTCATTCTTGCCATACCATACCGTTCTACGGGTCTCCCTTGGGCTTGGTTGTTTCCTTCGAATTTATGTCAAGTCATCAATAACCACACAGCCTGAACACGGAAATCACTGTCGCGCCAGCCAAGCTGGACGTGTGAAGTGACGTCCTCCGTCGCTTATGAGTCGGACTTGTGTCAGAGTAGAATTAAAGATGGTGACGGAAAGGATCGTGCTGGGGTAATAAGACTTGCCTCACCTTAATAAAACTGAAGCGGGGTCCTTGTGTGAAATTAATGTCATACGCAAGGAGGGTGCAGTTGCCTTAGTGACGTCACATAAATGCATTGGCGTAACTAAGGGACTGGCTGGAGGGGCCTCCGCTTGAGAGCTGTACATGTATACCCAACCCTCCCCTTTAAATTAGACTTAAAACGAAAGCTTTGCTTTGTACATTGCTCTCTAAATGACCTACAAATATTCAACCCTGTTATGATTCTGTATGAAAATGTTCTAGTCTCGTTTTTGTGAAACAGAATGATGAGAATTATCCATTCATTAGTTATGATTAAGCCCCCTCAGTGAAAAAAGGCATTGGGGCTGAGTAACACAACTAGCGTCAATCAGCGTCATGTAATTCTTTAAATTAATTGTTCCAGGAACTTTAAATTATATAAGAGAGGCAGATCTATCTAATTGCTTATCGCCTACCTTTTAGTTGGAAAAAAATATCAAATTGAATTCGCTATACAATCACAGAGGGATGAGAAATAAGTTTGACGTTATTTACGTCGACTTGCTGTGAATGTGAAGGACAATTGCATTTTCAGCCCGCTGCGGGAATGCAAAGCATCAATGCGACTGTTATAGTTCACGGGAAAGTTCAAATTTGCAACACTTCAGGAACTAACATTAAGGAACTAACAAGTCGATAAAATCTCAAAAGGACGTTCTGTGTGAGTCGTGTTTTTCTTGCCGATACTTGCAAAATCTTTCTGAAAAACAAAATGATGTTTACTTTTCATTTCTCTTGGGAAGAGAGCTCACTATGTTTCAACGACGAATTTGGGCGGATGGATGGAACTAGGAAATTAGGCATTACCTTACAGTAAGCAAACACGCCTGATAAACTCACTTATGATTCTAACTTACCACTGATTGTCAGCGTAGACGTCTCTTGCTATCCAGTGACACGCTAAGGGCTCCTTGGTTTTCTTGAGAAGGTGTAGCATCGTCATCATCTTCATCACCATCATCATCATTATCAGTCTAGGACCTCACCAGCCATTACGTCTGAAGCATCTTTTTTTATTACCCCTCTTGGTCGTCACCCCCAGCACCTCAGCTCCTCAGCCTGTCACGTTCTCTCAAAGTTAAAGAGAGACAGTGCCGAGAGCTGTTATATATACTCTACCCCGCGACTGCAATCTTATCTTGGCAACGCTTTTAAGGAGCTGAGCAGTGGCCACAGCTGGCAATACTGACACTCAGTTGGTGGTGGAGAAAAGCTGGAGATAAACTCCATAATTGTAAGCATTACCTCCAACAACACCTGTGAACAATCAGTTACTTACAAAATACACCGTTCTGTACTAAATAATGAGTTTTGATGACATCCATTCCTTTGAAACAGTGGAGCTTTTGGTTATAGGGAGAGACCAAAAATGTATCTTTAGTATAACTGATAAAGTTTCGAGTGGAGACAAATACTCTTAGTGCAAAGCTATTACTGGTTACTTTTAAAGGGGGATGGACAAGAAATCGAATGAGAACGAATTATTTCGGATTTACCGCTCTACAAATTTGGTTACATTTTAGCAGGCTGTTGGTATTCTCTCGGAAATTAATAAATTCTTACTAAAAACCGCGAACAATGCAAGTGACTATGCAACTCTTCCTACACGACGCGAATGCTTTCCGACTTTTCTCACTTGGATGGTCAACGGACCTTTATGTTGAGTCTTCTCATTTCCTCAAGTCAGAATTTCAATTGTGTGTGTGTCTGAAAAAGATGATGTACATGTTTATTTTATATGCCCATCAGAATCTTTTTCTTACTGCACTGCATTTGTTGTCCCTTTGATATCTTGTTCAAGAAAACCCTCGAAAAGCGCCCTCGTTTGTCGACAAGCACTTGGAAACACTCCTTTTTAATTCAACCGTAAAAGATCTGGGGGCCGCAGAGATATTTGTTTTTGCGAGCCGAATCTCTAGAAGTTTTTCACTAAAGCGATCATTGTAACCAGTTTGGTGAAAATCGAAAATATCGTTCTTGGGGAGCGCAAATGCTTCCGACACAGCTCAGCAAAAAAATGTATGATTATACGTGTACTTTTCCACTGCTATGTTCAACTTGATACACACGGGTTGGCAAACGTGTGGCCTTGAACGTCAAATGACCGTAGCAAAAAAACCATGAAACTTCACGTTTCTAATGATGAGGACTGAATGTACATGTATGCCAAGTTTCAATAAAATCTAGTACGGGACAATTGACTGGGTTGTGTATGTGTGTGTGTGGGGGGGGGGTCCGCCCCCGGCTGTGAGATGGTCCAAAATACTGTAATCCTGTTCTTCACTATCCAGTGATATTGATACCTGCCTTTGTACTCAGTATACATGTACGTAGATTTGTTCAAATGCTGTGTTTTTTTGTTAAGTACTCTTTGGAATTGATTACTTGCTTGCAGACTGATAATTCAGTCCAGGGAGTAATTATTACTTAATGACAAAGAAACTTAGCCGCGGGGTGAACTTTCCGTGATGAACTATTACTTTGATCTAAAAAAAAGATAACGAGATGTGAATCGTAGCTGTGATGCAGAAATATCTGTTGGATCTATAGTGCATCTTGCTCACGGATAACGAAATGACACGCTAATGGAAAAGGGTTCACAATCTTGAATGGTGCGGCAAAGTCAGGGTCATTATTTTTAAGACTGCATGAAAACAATACACATAGAGTTGTGTGGATGACAGTGATGTACCGCCAGACCGGGGTGCAGCTCTGGACAAATAGGACGGTATTTTAAAGATTCTTTCAGGATATTTTTAAGCCCGAGAGCCACCATTGTACACTCTAACGCTTCCCCCTCCAAATATACAAAGGTTTCTAATACAAATCACCGCAAGATAACACCTGCAAACTCACGTAACTGTTCCATGTCGCTTTTAAAAGGGGGTGAGACAAAACAGAAGAAAATTACATCGCGGTGACCCTTTCAAGATGAAATCCACCCTTGACGTGATATCTCAGTGTGAGGACTTTGCCAAGTACCAATGTAGAAGTGGAATCAGTTTATAGTTAAGTATCTTCTATTTTGTGTTTGGGGGTGAGCTTGGGTTTCGGGGTACCCAGTTATTCGAAGATACTAGGGACATTCACAGACGGACGCGGTGGTGCGCAGTGGTAGGGACTGTGGAGGGCGCCCTTCTATTGTTTACTGGAGGAATTGTCTATCTGTGTAATAATGAGCGAACAATCAAATGGTACATATTGAAAACCTGCTCGTCATCTTGATGACTGTGTAGCGACAAAATTTCGATATTTAAAGGATTTTATTCTGTGAAACAACTCTCAAAAAGTTGTTGCAGTACTGATCAACCATGAAAATCTGCGTCACAAATATCGCTGGAGATGTGTTCACCATGGAAGTGAGCCCCGAGTTGGAACTGCTGAACTTCAAAGCTCTGTGCGAGTTTGATTGTGGGGTGTTGAGTCAGCAGTGTGCGGTAATTCACAATGGAGTGTTATTGAAAGACCCAAACAAGACACTTGGAGCTTACGGAGTCAAAGATGGCGATATGATATTGCTACAACAAACCCAGCAACTACCTTCCCCACAACAAGGTTTGCTTTAAATAGTGCCATGGAAAACCAGTCATCAGATCATCATGATCATACAGATTTTGGGTCATCTCGTATCCAAGTCATCTCGAACCCTGGTCAACTCGTACCCGGGTCAAGTCGTACCCAAGTTAACTCGTACCCAAGTTAACTCGTACCCCTTTCATTAGTCAGTACAAGTGATTGTATTTCAAATATTTGTTTTTCTCAGAATTAGTTTCAGAATATAAGGCAGCGCGAACATACCCTGCAAATGCCAGTGAAACCAGTGGTAAGGTAATGACTTAGTGATTTCTTTTATTATAAAAAAATTTTAAAAATATATTTTATATAATTTTTAAATACTTTATTAAACTTTAAAAAAAATAAAAATAATTTATTTTTATTCTTTGCAGGCAAGGCATATCTCTTTTTGGAAAATGTGGTTGCCCTGAAAAGGGCCGTTTGGTTTGGTCGGCCTACAGTGCGTGACCATTCAGGTGCTTGCAGGTAGAAAGAAGCTTAGATTTTGTCAGCTCCCCAACCTGGTACCGCTGCCAGATCTTGAAAAGCTTCACCTGCATTGTCTTGAATCGCTTTTGCTGATACCGGCGAAGCTTGGACTCCTTTACCAGCCTCATTGCAAGTGTACCAGTGATGCTTCGGTGTGAAGGAGTTGCACCACGGTGTAGAACTGGACACAGTGGCGACCGGCCCTTCCGTTGATCCTCCTGTGCCAGCCCTTGACGTTGTTGTTGGTCCGCACGCTTCGCATGAACACCGACCAATTGGACGGCATCTATACGTCCCTGTCCACCCAGGTGGTACAGTACTATCGCAAACTGTACTACAAAGTTTGTAATAGAACTGTACGGCTGGAGGCGCTTGGGCTGTTATTGTACCAATTCACAAAGAAAAGAAGTCACTGAAATTATTGCATGCCAAAAGCTGCAATTTCAGTCGTGTTTGTTTCCATTTTCTTCATGCTTATACTGCACACTTATATTCAAGTTTGTTTTCCAACAACATTATCCCACAGCGCTCAACGTCTGCCGCATCGCCTGCTCTGATTTACAGGGTGACCATTGGCATCAAGACTTCACAGGATCATCTCTAAAAAGAAAGAAAGAGCAAAAACATGGCGACGGCAGTAACAATTTGACAAATGATATTTTTTCATAGTCATTATGTTAATTTAACATTCCCAACAATACAAGTCAACAGAGCAGGGAATAAATTATGGGAATGCGCCGTCATTCCTCGTTCGTCATTCGCGGCCGGGAAAATGCTTAGGGTACAACTTAACATGGGTACGGGTTAACTTGGGTACTACTTGGTTTGGGTACGTGTTAACCAGGGTACGACTTGATGTTGGTACGACTTGACTCGGGTACGACTTCACGTGGGTGTAAATTTTGGGGGACGAGTTGACTCGGGTACAAGTTAACTTGGTTACGAGTTGACCCGTTACCATCATACAACATGGTCCTGAATCACAGGTTATCACAAAAACTAGGAAAAAGGAGCCTTCCCACAATGCCTTTCAACCATTGTGCAAAATCACTCGTGCAGTATTTGCGATAAGGTTTATACTGGTACGTCCATGACAGTAGGGTGACTGGGGACGACTGGGACTGGGGGTATTGGACCGTATGAAAAGCCAGAAATTCAACCAGCTGTGTAGTTTTTGAATGCAGTTGATTGAATTCTTTTAGTCAAAAATTCCTGCACTTACCCTACATGTATATTCCTACACTTAGTTTCTGGTTTGTCCATGATGTCTGGAAACCATGTACCAAACGACACCTTTTTGGCCCGTTCACTCCGTTTACACAGGGTTGTAACCTAGGAATCCTGCCTCTGGGGTAAATTACTGGTGGTGCAACTTCAACTTTCTCAAGCAAAGTTTCCAGCGTGAGTGCAGTTGTGACATACATGTTCAGTTGTACTTACATAACTTACATACACTGTACATGTATATAGCTCTTGAAAATTTAGTAACCGTGATTTTTAGACCAAAAGATCCACCGTCTTTTGAAAATCTGAGTTTTTACTCACCAATCTCTTGATCTCTACCCAAGGATGATCACACCATACCGTCATGTGACCGTACACTTTGTGTACATCACAGTGCACATGGGGCTGGCCAGTGGCTGAGCTTGCTCAGCGTGTCAGTTCGACCTTTTTGTGGTAAGGGGTAGAATCTTGTTTTTATCGCATGACCTTCTTAGCTGTGTGACTGGACTAATACTGGTGGGATGTGCAACAAGTGCTGTACTATGTGGCTGTTACAGGTAAAACAGGTTTTCACCCCATGCCTCCAAAAATGTTAGATTCAGTAATTTACTTCAGAGGTTGGATTAAAAAAAAAGATACCATTATGACCTCATGTAAAATAAAAGGGACAAAAGACACACGGATGTGCCTTTTAGTTCCCTGAAGTACATGTAGGTCCTACTTAGCCCCATACTACGGGACTCCTTCTATATCCTTAGCCCTACACCCAACCCAACCCCCTCAAAAAAATGGGGACTTTGTGAAAAAGCTTTCTATGAGCCTCTTTCGCTTCGATAGCTTTACTTACCCTATCTGGTCATTTGTTTACTTTTTCAGCAGTTCCCCAACTGTATCTGTTTGTGAAATTTTGGATGTCTGTGATGTCGTCTGAACATGGCCATTCATTTACTTCACTGATTCATTCCCAATCATTGAATAGGTGATAATATATATCTAAATATGCTGCAGTTTGTTAATAAGCTTTGATTAATATATTGTAACATTTTTTAAGGGAATATCTTTCATTTGTAGGTAATCCTGGATTGCTGAATCTTGACTTCAGTCAGATCCAAGTTCCTGGCTCATCTCAACAGCCAAGACAGCAGTCACAATTGCCATCCTTACAGCAAGCCCAACAGCAAGCAGCAGCTAGTAATGAGACTGATCCAGCTAAAATAAGAGAAATGCTCTTGTCAAATCCACACCAGTTGTCACTGCTTAAGGAGCGCAATCGCCCTTTAGCAGATGCACTCTTGAGTGGAAATCTTGGTAAGAAGTCTTATACTTGCTCTTCAAGCAGCCCATTTTAAAACAGTTTTAAAAGAAATTACATTCTAGCGTTAGAGTGTGGTATGGTAAATTACAAAATTTTTTTGCACTAACGATGCCAAAAAGTCTTTGGTGATACATGTATTTGTTCAAAAGGAGAGCCAAAATAACAACATGTCACTTCGGTTGCACTTTAGTCTTAAGCTCTTTTTCTTGTCTGCTTTTTCAATAGAATTGTTTTCAGAAGTCTTGGAGAAACAAAGGAAAGAACGAGCAGAGAGAGAATTAATGCAAATACGAATGATGAATGCAGACCCCTTTGATCCCGATGCTCAACAGCAAATTGCAGAAACTATTAGGTATGTCTTGAATGATTTATTGGCAGGTAGGTTGATCCGTCAGTTGCTTGTTTAGCGGACTGACAGATTAATCAGTTAGTCATTTGATCACTTAACTGGTTGACTGATGTACATTTGATTCAGTTGGTCCATGATAGTAGGTAAGTCTCTCGATTAATTGGTCAGTGTGCAAAATGGTAAATAAAGAGAACCAAAAATTAAATCATGAAGTGATATTACTGAGGAATCAAAGTCCAGTTATTTGACTTTGGCAGATTAGGCTTGGGACATTTCTGAATGGACCTTACATGTGTCTGGATGAATGGTATCGATCTTGATGTTGGCAGTTGCATGTATGGAAAATAAGGACATCAAAGAGTAATTGCCCATCTTAACTTACCTGTATGTCCATTTCAGATTGAAGAATGTTGAGGCTAACATGGAAACAGCAATGGAGCATGCACCAGAGAGCTTTGGTCAAGTAGTCATGCTATATATTGATGTCAAAGTCAACAGTCATCCTGTGAAAGCTTTTGTAGATTCTGGTATGTAACCATTATTCATTAATATTCATTTTTGACCCCTGGCGCTGCTGTTTAACTGGCCTGTCTTGTATTCTAGTCCTCCAGCATTCTTACAAATTGTCACATTTCAGGTCATTGCTATACTAATGAACTTTGACAAAGGCATTCACCAGTTGTTATTCCTTCGAATCCTTCCCTCTTGCCCGTGAGACTTTTGGTGAATTGTAAACTTGTGAATGGCATTTGGACTTTTTTACTCATATGGCATTTGGACTTGTGATGGACTCCTGATATTTAACTTTGTTTTGATGGAAGTTGTGATTGACTCATGGTTTCACCACTACGATGTACATGTAGTTCTCTCTTGTACTCTGTACTGATGAAGCCCTGTGAAAATCTGCCCTTATTGGTGGTCTTGGTGCAACTGTAAGTGTAGTGTGGTGAAAAAAAAGCCTATCTTTTAAATGATTAATTAGTTTACACTATTACACTTGCATTAGCTGAACAAGAACATGGCACTATGCTGTGTCTCTTAGGCAAATCGCATTCTCTTCCTAATTCACCAAAATCTAGATAAAGATTGTGGAGGAATCAACAATGTACACAAAACCAGGTTCATGTACCAGGCACTGCATTCTCCATGGAGCTTGGTATGCTTTATATCTTGATGATACACCCCTAGGCCTGTATTGTAATAACTGTGGGTACTGTAATTCAATTTCAGGTGCCCAGATGACTATTATGAGCCAAGCCTGTGCTGAGAGATGTAACATAATGCGTCTGGTTGACAAACGATGGGCGGGCATTGCAAAAGGGGTTGGTGTACAAAAAATCATCGGGAGAGTACATTTAGGTAAGATGATGGTGTTACATAACTCCAGTGAAATATATGGAAGTATTTTATTTATTGATAAGTATCATTCCAGCCTTTTTGAGGTGTTACTTATTGTCAGTGCAATTAATTGAAACTTAACTTAGTGGCTGAGCTGGGAGTTTAACTGAAGAAAGCAGACTAGATGAATGCACTTGTGACTGGAAGACTGATAATATGGAGTTTTTTTTCATTTAAAAATTGCTGAACAAAGTGCCAATATGCTAGACATCACACAATGTGATTTTATTTCTCAAATCTTGAATATCGTAAAAGCATACAAAAATATAAATATATTTGTTATATAGTGGTTCCATAATGTTGAGTAGAAATTCAGTGATGAATGAAGATGCTTTCATCACTCTTTCTGAAGGACAAATCCAAATTGGACCAGATTTCTTACAGTCATCATTTGCTATCCTTGAGGATCAGCCTATGGACATGCTTCTAGGACTTGATATGCTCAAACGGCATCAGGTAAGTACAGATACATGAGCCACACCATTCCAAAGGTCTTAGATTTCTTTAGTTTGTTAATTCATAGTGATTTTAGTCACTGGTGTCCACCAATTTCTAAGCAGTAGCCGGTGAAGTGTGCATTACTACTGATGTTTATCTGGAGCTTTTAGGGATGAACATTGGGGTTGCTTCTATTGGTAATGTGCCTCTGACACAATCCACTATGAGCTCTCTGCAATTTCCCTTGCAGTGCTCTTCTTAGACTCAGCTGAATTTGTAAGTGGACTTTTTTTATCCCTGACAACTTGTGGAAGGGGTTTGAAAGGTCATACTAGCTATATGATAAGGAATTTCATTGTAGAGTGCCAAACATATACATGTATAGTGTTGCGGAGTCACATGCTCCTTACAGCTTTACCACAAGAAATTCTGTAACAGGTTTTGAAAGTTGAATGATCTCCACAGAAGGTTGTTTCTATGCCTTTTCTCCTTGGCCAGTGCTGTATAGACCTTAAGAACAACATTTTGAAAATAGGCACCACAGGAACAGCAACACCATTTCTGGGTGAGGCTGAGCTACCGGCTTGTGCCCGATTAAATCAGTCTGAATCTTTAGAGAAGACCTCAATTGAAACTGAAGACAAACAACTCGCAGAAGCCCTGACCAGATCGGCTCAAGACATTGCAGGTAAAAAATTCCACTGAGTTATCCACCCATTGTTGGTAGCTTGATGCTTGGTGTGTTTGATGCACTTTATTATTTCAGCTCATTCTTTCTGAACTTCTATCTTTCATGCACAGAAATATAATTAAAAAACAGAAATAACAGCATGAAGCAATATGACTACTTTTCTTCGAAAGTATTAAGCTTTGATGCAATTAATGAATGGCCAGATATTATCAGTGTCTGAGGTGTGGCGTGCATGTTCAATGGGAGTGGCTTTCAAATATATGAAAATTAATAGGTACAAACGAACTGTTTTTCTTGTGTAGGACCAAGTACATCTTCCTCAGAGACTCAGGACTCTTTACAGTCATGTCCCTTCCCTGAATCAACTATAGGTGAGCTCACAGCCATGGGTTTCCAACGAGATGAGGTTATCACAGAGCTTAGAAAACAAAACGGAAACAAGCAGATGGCCATGGCTGCTCTGTTTGCCAAGAATTTAAAACTTCCAGGTCAATAATTGCCAGCACTGGCTGCCAGGCCATTTAAGTTTGTAATGAAAAACCTTTGTACAGAGAATATTGGAAACTATTGAATTCACACGACTGAAAACAAATTGAAACATTGTGTATGTCATGAAAGTGCATTGTTATGTGCATTGTTATGTTCCTGTAATGTTTGCTGTTTTGTTAATTGGCGTAACTGCATGTGATTGTCTTGAAATGCATATGTGGCTTGCATTTGAAGACGTATTTAGTTCCTTCATTTAAAAATGAAAATAAAACATTTGTTCCAAATTTTGTTTGAATTTTAAATGGGACATAATACCATTTTAAAGTTTTTCTGACATACGATTGAACCCTTCTTAACATGTTCAGAAAACCTTTTAAATGATGGCACATATAACATACATTTTAAATACTGTACTGTGCTAGTTTGCAGAATGGTTCCATTTCATTGAGTTTCTGTACCAGAGATACGTTGGCTAAGCGTAGACATATTTTTGCTAAGCAAAAACAACTTCCCATCCCAAATAGTATTTCATTACATCTAGTACTTAGGTCTCAGCTCTGTTTGGCCTAGCACAATATTATTTCAATTGTAATTTCAATATTTCCTTCTCATCAGCTTTATGAAAGTAGGCCCAGATGTTAAACCTTGAGCTTTGTAATTATACAGTTCTTGGTTAGTGTACAGAGTACATCACTCTAGCATCCCTGTACATTTATATTGTAAGCGCTTCTCAGTGTGCTCATCAAGGATCCCCAAACCATTCCAAACATTTGATAAATACATGTACACCGCCAGGGCTTTGTGTATTCATCTTCTTGCAATATTTATTTAATCTGGTTCCATTATGTCTCACCTGTGAACCCAAACACTGCTGTAGAGTGGCTAGCCGCAAGTTTTTCTACGTACATTCAGTGTTTTGCAGTTGGCTTCATGTAATTCTTGATGTGATTATTTCTGTACTTAGCACTACTTCACTGTGATGTTGAGCCCATCCCAACCTGGACTAGTGATGCAATGGAATAATGAAAATATTGTCAAGTTTTCATGTGGAAACAAACCTTCCTTTCTCTGTCTTTTTGTACCTGAATACTTGTCAAAAGTGTTATAGAGTGAAAATTGTGAAAGTGGTCGGATGCGTTGACTGGGCTCTTGTGCACGTTTTTCCTGTCATTTCTCCATTTGCTAATTACAAACTCCCTTTTTTTTCTCGTGGTATGATTTTCAAACATTTTTATTGATGGGAGCTTTTGCGTGCAGAGTTTTTCTGGACCAGAAGTGACTACAGTGTGGAGGTTTTACATTTAGAATCGTGCAGACAGACCAGATTTCAGCAGTTATTCAAGGATCCCTCAAATTTTCCCCCGAAGCAGTTTAATGTCAGATGTTTGTAAACAACATGACATTTATAGAGTAAGTCTTTTCGTACTATGTGTCGGGTGATTTTTAATATATGTTTTTGTGCCTTATTCTGTATGCATCTATCGAAGAGTTTACGAGATGGAGAATGTAATTTGCTTCATAAATATTGTGACATTCCTAACACCATTTTGTATCAAACTGTTTGCTTCACTTCATTGATGTCTTTACGGTGGCGAACCTATACCTGTAAAGGACAACATAAACTGTTGTGTAATGCAGAGCCACTTTTCTACAGGAAGAAATCCTGGGGAGTTCATACTTGCATGTACGTAGCTAAACCCAGGCCTGTTCTAAGTCTTCCAGAGATACATTGCCGGGGGAGGGGTTAATGTGTTTCAAAAGGGTTTCAGAGAAAGAAAACGTTCTTCTGGTTGCATGTAAGCAAAACACGTCTTTGCTCAGAACATGATTGTTTCTGTGAGGAACGGTAGAATTATTTATAGCGTTAACTTTTCTCCTTTTTAAACAGTAATATTGGCAAGTTGCTGAAATGTTGTTCAGAATTTCAAAAGATTATATTTAGAATGCCTCAAAGTTCTTTGAAAGCAGAAAACTTCGACGGCGTCATTTAGATGAAATGATTACTCCTAATAATGGCTTCTGTGGACGGTAATTAAATTCTCTCCTCGACTTGAACCATACTAATCGCATTACGGTTGTTTATCGTACTTTCCGTATTCAGAAAGAGGTTATTTAAGAGCCGAATAGGGAAGGTACATTTTGCGTTATAAATTGTTGTTTTCATACGCACAACGTATTAACCCTTTCCCTAAGAATGGAAACCAATGGTGAATTGGAGAATTTTTTTTCTTGTTGTGAAGGTATAATGCCTTGAGTTTTCCGTGAAGTTTTCTGTAGTTGCTGGACTGCTTGCCGATTACCTGACGCGTTTGAAGGCCATACCGAAAAGATTTACTTTGGCCTTTAATAAATCATCCATGTCCAGACTGAAATCACCAACTTAGTGGACCTTGAATAAAGATATTTTTTTCAGCTTTGTCCTTGGACGGGGCATGCAGTAAACAACCATGTATTTCTGAGATACTGCTGTAAGCCCATTTTACGTTCTTTAAGCACAGCGAAAGGTTGATTCACAAAATACATGCAGTAATCAATAATGATGATTGGCACACTGTCACGACCATGGTTGCAAGGAGGATGGCAGACTCTATAGAACCATGGGATGCTTTAAATTTATTTAGAAACCAAAAATAGACTTCAATCTTATTGCCATGTTGACCTTCATGAATTATGGGGAAGTGACGTGAACACAGCAATGTTTAGAAGATTTCGTAACTTGTCTGTGCTCAAAACGGCACATTTTCTGAATTAATAGATGAACCGTGCTTTTGTTATTGAAGTTACATGTTTAACCCTAACAGCCCTGAATCCTTCAATTTTAATTTGATTTTACACACGCCCTAGTGAGTTAAGGTTAATAACGTAATGTACACTAATATAATTTGTTAGAAATTCGTTTCCACATTTACATACGTTCATCAGATTTGACGTACCGGCATCGGAATCAAAAGTTTGCTGTATAAAGAACACCGCTGATAAGACTTTTGTATGTACGCATAAATAATTCAATAATACATATTTGTAGAAAGCTCGTGCATTGTTTGATAATTACGTTAAGACGTAGCGTAGAAGGTGGCACTCCAAAGAGCCTTTCTCTCTTTGACGCAAAGGCATAAATAGTGTTGACGGAGGTACGCTCTCTTCACAACCTTGTGAGACATGTAAGCAAGGTAGCAATGGCGTTGGTAATTGTCCTGTGTCTGCTGGTGATTACAACTCAAACGGTAGTTTGGTGTGACGTACCAGCAAATCTTGATATGCGGCATGCAAGCTATGGGGACTATATCATCGGTGGTATGTACCCCTTCCGTTTTTCTGGCTCAGACGGGCTTTGTTCCTCTGCCCCAGGAAAATGGGCGTTATCAATGTCCCAAACTATGATCTTTGCAATACAGGAGATCAACAGTAACCCTGCCATCCTACCTGACTGCATCATCGGTTATGATATCAGAGATACCTGCTGGTCGGAGGAGTTTACGTTATATACCAGCACTGCACTGGCAGTGGGTCGAAATTCCCGTTATGATACACAGACGAATGCGATACCTGTGGGATTGATCGGGCCTGCGTCCAGCGTCAATGCTATTTATGCTGGTAAAGTAGCAGGTCTATACCAAATACCAATCATATCTTACTCGGCTACCAGCAATGAGCTCAGCAACAAGGAACGATTCCCCTATTTCTTGAGGACAGTCCCTCCGGACAAACTTCAAGCGCGGGCGATGGTTGATATCCTTTTGCATTATGATTGGCGTTACGTCGGCTTGCTTTACTCAGCGGACACGTACGGCATTCATGGTGCGTTGGAAGTCACGAAATTAGCAGAGCAAAACGACATCTGCATTGCTTTCTCTGTTGTTGTTAGAGAAGAACCGCAAACCAATGAGATCAACGATATCGTTTCCCGAGTGGGTTTGTACCCCAAGGCCACTGTCTTCGTCATTTTCAGTTTAGGTGGACACATGTATGACATTTTAAGAGCCGTTCATGCTACCTATCCCAATCGAAGACTCATCTGTATTGGTAGTGATGGTTTCAGCGGCTACGGCTTCCTTCGGAATCCCAGTTTAGCGAACGCTACGACTGGAAGTTTCTATGTTGGACTGACTTATAATAAGGTTCCTAATGTTGAAAAGTACTTTCGAAGCATTGGAGTCGAAGGCATTTATGAAAGCGATATTTCGCCATGGTTGACAGAATACCTTAATGATTGGACTGTCGAAAACGACTGTTCAAACTTTACGTCGTGTCCCGCACCTCTTTATGACACGGAGAGTCACGTGTATTTAGCAGTCTATGCTTTTGCGCATGCACTGCACAACCTCCACCAATCACTTAAGAGTAACGGGAGCTGTTTCAATCTTACTGGTCAGATGTTACTACCACATCTCTTGAATATTTCCTTTGAAAACGGAGCAGGCCAAGTTGATTTTAATTTAGATGGCGACTCCGGAGGAAAATACCAGTTGAGAAGTTGGCAGCTGTCCGCGGATGGGCAGATTGAACGCGTGCGTGTAGGATTCTGGGACTCGCACCAAGTTGATAACAGTCTTGAGATATTTGAAGACGTTGTACTTTGGCCGCAGGGTAACTCTCAACCACCGTTGTCTGTTTGTAGGGAGCAATGCCGCTCTGGGTTTATTGTCGTCCCTTTAGAGGAAAAATGTTGCTGGGGATGTCAAGAATGTCCGGTCAACGCCATCGTAGTCAATAACTCTTTTTGCGAAACGTGTTCAGTTACTTTCTGGCCGAACTCAATGCGATCTGCATGCGAGGCAATTTCCCCTACCTCTTTGGACTTGAACAGTGGGACAAGTATCGCCCTACTGTCGATTTCGGCCTTAGGAGTGCTCTCCTGTGTTTTTACTGCTGCTGGACTGTATTACCACCGTAGCCACGCATTGATCAAAGCAACCAGTCGCGAATTGAGTTGCATCAACATTCTAGGTTTGACAGCTGCTTTTGCTAGTGTGTTTTTGCTGCTGGGTCGACCTTCCCATGCCAGCTGTATGATGTTAGAAGCAATGATCTCTTCGAGTTTTACGCTGATTTACGCCCCAACTTTGTTGAAGGTGAACCGAATCTTTCGCATTTTTCAGTCCAGCAGAAGATCCGTTCGTCGTCCGCGGTTTGTTGGTCCTAAGCAACAATTGATGCTGGCTTTTGTCTTTATTCTCATACAGGTAAGCTACTAAGTAAGACTTTCTGAAAAGAATATGTTTTTAACTTTGCAGAAATTGTTGAGGACGTTCATGGCATGAGTAACAGGACAAGATAATGGCTTGAAATACCAAGCAATATCAGTACTTGCCCCACTGTTCGCTGTGATCATAGCTTTGCGAAGGCTTTAGAAAGTGGAATTCGGCACTGGACAATATGTTATTTGTCAGCCCATCTATCCTGAAATCTTCGAGAGTAAAATCCATTCGTACGCTTGAGATAAGGCTGTGTAATGAAATTTACATATGATCCTGTTAAATTATGATTTTTTTTTTACTCTAATCATGTAGGTGCTGGTGAGTGTCATCTCAGTATCATTCGCTCCTGCTTTACCAACCTTCCTTTTCCCGCCCGATTTGCGTAAATACGTCGAAATTTACTGTTCGTTTGGCCAGGGGTTTGTTGCAACCATCGTATACAATATGATTATCATTCTAGTCTGCTGTTTCTACGCCTTCAAGACCCGCAAAGTTCCTAGCAATTACAACGAGTCCAAGTTCATTGCCATCAGTGTTTATTCCACGTTGGTCTTGTTCCTAGCCGTCATACCGGTATACACAACCGCTCTGCATGTCCTTCAGAAAGTAGCCACTCTGTCAGCGGCATTGCAGTTGAATGCTAGTCTGACATTGGCGTTGGTCTATTTGCCAAAACTGTACGGGATTCACTTTGCCGATGAGTTAAACGTTCAAGAATGGCGTACCACAGCAAACCAGATCGGTTCTATCAGTGGGATAATGAGCAGAATGAAAACAGACTCAGCAATGCAAAGCAAGAAGTCGGATCCAATTTAGATTAATGTCCAAAACATTAAGTGAGCGATTCAAAATCCGTTGAACGGTATTCCACTATTTAGCTGACGGTATAATTATAATATATGCAAGTGTAATATGCATATAATAACATGCAAATGTATTAATAGTACACGACTGTTTTCTGTAGTATCGTAACATCTTACAAATCAAAAGGTCGAAAACGATTTATGAAAATTGCATTGTCATAAATGTGGAGGTCGTCAAAACAAGTAACAATGTCTCATAGCAGGGATTAGAGATGCGTGTGTTTGTTAGTTTCTGTGTATGTCTGTAAATGTTTTGTCATCTGTAGTTATTTCAATTTAAACATTTAACACTGGCAGGGATTAATCAAGTAATGTCCAAATGATATCACTGTAAACCTTATAAGAGGCGGGTCAAAGGAAGAAAAGGCTCGTTTTTTATATACCTGATCTTGTCGTGATGTGTAGGCTTTAAACTTTCCTGGACTCACATATTTCTCATTCAAAATGTTGCTCAGATAATTTAATGAATGGTTGTGTTAAAAGTGAACATAAATTATGGTGAATGTCTTGTCTTCTTTCGATCAAGCCCTTTCGTTTAGCGTACTGGTAACTTAACCTATTATTGTTTTAGAGGCGGGTCATCCAAACAACAATTTTACTCCTCTCTTCACTTTTAGAACGAAATTTGTTTCTTTCGCACTCTGGTTGTAAGCACAAAAGCACTGATCCTTTGTGTAGTCTTGCAAAAGGGAATTTGGCTCCCGTAAGTTTTCGTATTTCTTATTTGCCGGTGGAAGAAACATGTCATTTGACCTCTGTGGATGTTGTTAAAGTGGAATTGTGCTAGGAGTAAGTTTCCTTGTAATTAAACTTTGACTTAACCCGCCACCTACAAACCAATATCCTCTCGACACAACAAACTACATGTAGACTTATTTCATGACGTCCCATATACTGCGACCATGGTCACCACAAGTATTGCAGTATGAAGTCAGTCGTTGAAAATGATGTCCGCAAAGGCCCGATTCACTTCGAATTCGGAGTTCAAAGAATACTAGTCTACATTTCGACTTACTATTGATATAGCAAACAGACCTTGTTTTAAAGGTCCTTTTAAAGTTTAAAGGCCCTTTACAGCACAAAGCAAAGTGTTTCATCATGCTCATTGGAGTCTGCTGTTCGTGCGTCTTCAAGACCCGCAAAGTTCCTGTAGCAATTACAACGAGTTCAAGGTCATTGCCATCAGTGTTTATTCCACGCTGGTCTTGTGCCTAGCCGTCATACCGGTATACACAACCGCCCTACAGGTCCTTCAGAAAGTAGCCACTCTGTCAGCGGCATTACAGATCAACGCTAGCCTGACATTGGCTTTCGTCTTCACTTTGATTCACTTTTCCGATGAATACTGAAGGTCCAAGAATGGCGCATTGGAACTCCCGAGACCGAGGACAAGATTATCGCCATGAGTGGCGCAATGTGAAATATTAAAATTTTCTCGGCAATTTTAAATAACGCAGGAGACCACTATAGCTGCCAGGCACTAACTCAACTGCAGGGCTTATTTAAAATTAAATGAGTAAATGTGTAGGTTTTTTGGCCACTCAAAAACATTTTTCTTCATATTGATCAATTTGTCCTTGCCGCATAATTTCACGACAAGTTTGTTCAATTGCGGTAAACTTCATGGTGAGAGGTAGAGGGTATAAACTATAATGGTGCAAGACAGATATTTTTAAACTGCGCTTTACATCATTGCCTCGCATTTTTTACTCTTTTCGAACAACTCTGTCTCAGTGAGAATGTGATCATGATTTTTTCACTTTTGTTGTTAATCTGCTGTAATGTGCTCTGTTCGTAAAGGATGATTAGTAGCTGATATTTACAAAAAAGTTTGATCGACCTAAAGTGGTAGTTTCTTGTGACCTGATAGTTTTAGATATACATAGTACGTTATAAAATAATTCAAAATAGATCTCAGATATTGGCTGCACTTTTCAGGTATTTATTTCATTCCCTCCACCTGTCTTAATTAACCTTTTTACTGATAAGAGTAAGCGTAAAAGAACAATAGTTTCACTATCGAAAGAATAAACTCATTTAACATTTGCTTTTGAATTGTTAATGATTATTGGAGGCTCTAGAGATTGTCTGTAAACTGCAGATCTCTGCATTTTCCGTGATTACAAAATCATACTTCTCTGGACCTGTTGGAGCGGGTTGTTAATATTTGCAAGCATTGAAAGCAGTACATGGTACAGAAGAAATGTAACTGATTTTTTATCGAAACAACTAAATGATATCACTCCTTTATTTTTTCAAATTGCGAATATCGGTATTAGTAATGAAGGTTGGTGCTGGCTCAGTTAGGAGTAAGGGGTATAAGTAAAACTTATTAAAAGGGATGTGTAAGAACTCATAAGCCGTGCTGTGTTCACGGTAAGTTCGCATTTTGCTACCAAAGAAAAACAGCATAATACCTCAGATAGTAAGAACTGGGAAAAGTTTTTTAAATGAAATATAAAAAAGGAACAGTGCTTAGTTTAGGCATAAACTTCAACTCACTCTCCAGGCTCTCTTGTCCTTGTGCCACTCAGTCCGAAGACAGAAAAACTGGCTTTTTCAAAGACACTTTTTACACTGTACGTACGCATCCGTGTAAGTGAGAAAATGGTGTGTCAAAGTACGTTTACTGCCCTTTAAAAGTGGCACATCAAATTAAGCAAATTTAATCTATTATCAGTCAGGCACATATCTTCCTCGAATGAAAGGCCATTGACTGCACGAAAATTGCGAGAAAACTATCATTTCAGTCTGTGTCCTTCGGTGTGAATATGCGCAAGATCCTGGAGAGCATAATCCTGTCCATGTGTCATTTATGCTGACGCGGTTGTCAACTTTTAGCCTACAGTTGGCCACTCTTGGCAATTACAATTTCTGCAGAGGGGACCCCGTTATATGAGCCAAACCTTTCGATCTCTCTGAGTATTCCGCGACTCTTGAAAAGGACGCTGCCGAATACAACGCTTCGTCCATCGAAATATGTCGCTGGTGTAAGAAGAATGCGGAACTGTGAGCCGTTGCTGTTTAATCGGCCAGCTGTAGTCAGAATACCTTTAAACAGGGAAATATCAAAGCAGCTATTAAATGTGAGGAGGAGAGGCACCAGACCAATCATAGTACGTGGTGGCTTTCCACCCTGAACAGATATGACTGGACTTAGTCGCCAGCAACTACTCAGAATATTTTGTACAGTTGCACGTCTACCACACTTGCCCCCTTTGATAAAGTACGAGGAATATATCTTTAAAAAGTATTTCTTAACCCTACACGGCATTGTTTCCTCTGATTTCCTTGGTGCCCGCAGTTAGACGCTCCATTTTGGAGAGTGGTATTACAACTGTGTGAATTGTATTTGTTTTGACCCCAAAGCTGTTGTAAATGGTTTAATGTTGCTACATGGCTGTCCTCCACACTCCCAAAGGAAAGAAATGGCATTGAATTTTTATTATTTTTTTTTTTAGGTGCGGGGGGGGGGGCTGGAGTGGGGTGTAACCGAAGATCTGACTGGCTATGAGCAGAGCTGATTTGGTTAATGTATGTCCAGACATGTGTCTCTGTGGTCAGCCCAAGCCACAAACATCAAAGGGGCCCGACCCCATTGAAAGTGTCCTTGGAGGGCGTTTCCATTGATAAGTGCAGGCCTGATGTAAACAATCACTTGAGAATCACAACTGGAAGATGTTCGTAGACAGTTCAGTGGGCCTTACTCAGGGACCGGCTCTTATATTTTTTTTCATGGCTAAGGGGAAGCCTCTGTGTAAACAGCGACTAAACGAGGCTTTTCAGCATGAACAGAGGTAGGATATCATGGAAGGTTTTGATAGTTGGCCGTACTTTTTTTAATCAAGTAATTAGCAAAACGGCACTCCAAAATGGAGCAAATATTGCTGTAAGCAGGGTTAAATAAAGATTGTAAAATGTAAGAAGATGTCTTTTTTCAGATTTAGTTTTTATTTAATTGCTTGAGAAAATGGGCTCCATTCTGGGACACTAAGGCTTTTTCGGCGAAAATTTTCTGTCCTCATTCTTCGTTTAATCGGGAAATTTGTTCAGACATGTTGATTTTACTGTGCTTGGAAATGTTGTGATATTTATTACGGGAGTACTTTATTTACTTTTTGCTTAGGCTAGGCTTTGAGACATACATTTTTTGTACATGTCCCAACCTAACCTGTAAATTCGTCATTATGTTGTAGAGTTAAGAAACTGTAACTGTCACTGGATATGTGGTTTGGATGGTTGGGACATTACCGACATGGCTGTGGCTTAACTCGTAGTTTTCGTCAGGAAATACCCCTCCATAGATGCTGATCTTTCCTCCGCTTCCGTCGCCTTTGATAATGTCCCCACCCTGGATGACAAAGTCGGGAATCACCAGGTGGATTCTTGACCCTTCGTAGCCAAAGCCTTTCTCGCCGGTGCACAGAGCGCGAAAATTTTCTGCATAAAATGTTGGGGCGTAAAGGAAGATGTGCATGCCAAACCTTTACAAAACACATTGGTTTAGGTTTGTGCTTTAGGGGGGGGACGATTTGGGCCGTTTCATTCCCCTTCCTTCCAAAAGTGTGCCAAACACCCCGAACCTTACCCTCATCCAAAGGTCATACAATGTTACATTAAAAATATCACTCCCAGCAACGAGTTTGGCCCCTCGGAAATTTGGTTCTCGATCCGCCCTTGCAATTAAAGTAAAAATGTTGTATTGCTATCAAGAAAACTTAACGATGAACATGTCTTCTCCATACAAAGACTGCATCTCCTTGGTCAAGGCTCCTGTTGAATTTTTGCCTACCATAACATATATACGGGGCCTTCTACAAACTCATGTGGTTTGAATTCGTCCACTATGGGCTAATTTTGCTGTGACATTTTCGTGGCTTCAAGAATCCTATGAACTGGCTCGATTAACGTTGAGATTGTTGACCGATTTATTCTGAAGGCGTAGCCTACTGGGCATAAACGATTTAACTTTTGCTTACCTGCTGTTTTGGGGACAATGTCGCTGTAAAGCTGTGGGGAAATTATATATGTCCTATTGAGTGAAGTAAAATATTATATGCTAACTGCAGTGACGGTGTGTTATATGTATGACCTTCATAACATAGCCATGCCGATTCCATTTTTGGATTTTGAACTATTTAGCTACAATTAGAACATTCTTCCAAATGTTTAAATTCAAGTACTTGATTCATTCTGAGGCTTCTTATTTTCTCGACTAACTGAATGAATGTTTAATTTACATTTTTACTATGGTAGATTTGACGAACTTAATCAAAGTCCGATGGAAAGCATGTGGGCAACCGCCGAGTTCAACCAAGCTATGGTACTTGTAACCATCAATACTGATAACTCAATCGAACACCCATTGACAAGCTTATATCCAGATTCCAGTCACAAATTGGCTGGTTGGCAGAGTAACATGTTACAGAACATGTTTCAAGTACGATACCTCCATGATAATCCTTCCCAGTGGTTCACCATCAACAGTCATATCGAAATACACTATTGGTCTTTCTTTGACTGTTGTTGAGAAGCACAGTTGGAGAAGTAATGCCACGACGAAAAGGCGAGCGTAAAACTTTTCCATTCTGCAGCCTGATGGAACTTGATATCTCTTGAACGTCGAACCGATAGTAAAAATGCGCGCGAGGGTTCGTGTTGCTGATAATATTAATAATTGGTACGCCGGAGCAGCTTATCCAACAACGGATCCTCTGTTCTGGTGCACCATGCATGGAGCTATCACAGACCATTGATCTGTTTCATATGACCATGACGAAAGTACTTTTTATTCCGACACTCTAGAAACTGCCCTTTCACACACCATTGAAGGGCGAGAGGTCTTTTGTGGATAAAGGATGCTACCCTAGCCTGTAGCTTTTCAGCAGGAAGCTTTTCCGGACCGAGTAAATGGCAGTTACCGTGAAAACTTCAAAACCAATAAAGAATCGTTTTTCAGTTTAATTTATCTCTTTTTCTCCTGCCGAAATGGCAGGAAAAATGGACGACCGTCTCCACAGCCAGAGACGCCTGTTTAGCTATCTATTTGAAAACAAAAATTGCGTTTCTGTTGTGGGGTTCAAAACAGCAAAACGCGAAAACAGATTTGGTGTACGGGGTTTTATCACAATTTTGCACGTTCTTCTGTTTCACCACGCGTACACGTTGAATTACATTATCATGGCAAACGTTTTATTTAGTCATCTGTCGCTGGGGGCGCACATGTCGAGTGCATCGCTAGCGCAGCGGTTAGCCTCGCCACTGTCCATGCTTACATTGTATGATCACGGCGCCCTACTTCTTAATCCTCTCCAGAATACTGTTAGTTACTGATTCCTTGTTCGACGTTCAATAAGTGAATGTTTCACGTTTGGCAAGCGCTAAGGACACACCCCAACGAAATTTGGTCGGAGACAAAAACGAACAAGTGGCCTCCCAAACTAAAATCGTACATTTGATGCCCGTCTAACCGTTAAACCAGGTATTCATTCCCTTTCTGATGGGCTTCCGATTTTGCTGAAGGTCTAATTGGCCGAATTTGGCCCTTATAAGCATCAAATTATGAGTAAAAATGTACTATTCAGGGGTGGATCTGGTTTGGTGCGTGGAGTGCGCACCCCCTTTTTACCCTGCAAAAATAAACAAATCAAAAAAAGAAAGTGGGGTAGAAAAAAGAAGGCCCACACTGCCTGAGATTGCACCACAGAGAGCCTAAAATCCAATCCAATCTTAGAATCCAGTAAGCAGGCCCGGACCTCACTTTAGTTCAGCCCCCCCCCTTTTTTTTTAAAGAAAACCCTGGGTCATGCTCCCCTTTTCGGGAAAACCCAGGATCCGCCCCTGCTGTTTAACAGGCGATGTGGTTGTAAAGGATTGTGTCGATGTGAATGAAGGCAGCATTTTCGGGAACCTTTTTCTACGCAATATAATATTATATATTTTGCGAACGTATTTTTATTTGATTTTTCCGAATGTGTGCGTGATTATATGTGAAATAAATTAAAACGTTGAGGTCCTGTACTGGTACTGCTGCCATCGATAAACTTCAATACTTGACATTCCAGGTTGAGTCTTGTAAATGTGTCTCTGTATCTGCATACAGTAAGCAGGTTGAAATCGATCCCGAACCTTTCCGTGTGCATCGATATGGGATAAAAGTTGGAATCGACTTAGTTTATGATGGAATAGTGTTTAAAAAATTCGAAATTTAAATTTGTTGGCGCCATATCGAATCATTTTACGTTTCTCTGCTACATAGATACTAAACTCGTGCTGCATTTTAATCAATATACAGTGAGCTTTTCATAAGGGAATAATGTGCTTGGTCAGTCTTAAACGTGCGTTTAAGACCACAACGCAGTGCCGGGCATTATCAGCGTTCAGTTTCATGAGCCCGTCTTAAACGTTAGTTTGAAACCGGCCACAAGCACGTATTTATTCCCATTCATAAATAGATTTTTTAGTCAGTAAGTCAAAAGAAGTCAATATATGACAGATTTCCAACGATGTTGTTTTAGAATGTTATTTTCATTCTCCTGAACACCCCCTCCATTCCCCGTCCATTTTATTTCATAGGGTGCGTTCGATTGGGTTACACGTAGCTCTATGGTCAAACTTACACAAGAGCGTTCGTTTAGCCGTCACGTGATCTTTGTGCCTGTCCTGGTGTTAGGCACCACTACCCTGGCTGGCGAGCAAGTCCCTGGGGGTGCAGTGTCCCAATTAAAGGAAAATTCTCCGCCAGGCCGAGGCGCACAAAAAGTACCCCCCAGAGATTGTTTCGAAAAGAGGGGTCTGTTTGGGCCAAGCAATGGTGGGATTGTGTCAGTATGGCCCAGGATCATCTCTGTCATTCAGGGGCACCCATCTGGGGGCAAAGCAGACAAAAATGGGATTGAAAATTAGTCAAAAAAAGCCCAGGAAGGTGAGTGATGTCATTTGAAAAAATGGCCGCTTGGAGGGCTTGGCAACATTCACTTTTTTGGGGGGGGGAATTTGTTTTGGGCGGATAATTAAAAAAATCATTGGTTAACCTACTAAAAATTGAAAATCAACTGAAATCTGAAGGACCACACAACACATTGTTTTTTGT